ATGCAATGCAACGCGTAAAAAGACAGTATAAGTCATTATAATCAGTAATTATGTCCCCACTGGATGCAACAAATGCCTCGTTTGTAATGGGTTTTCATGTTTTTGTCTTGTTGCTCCGGCCGGGACACGGCATCAACAGTATGGTGAGGGGCATAACATTTCCGTCACACGCTTGAGGTATTCGGCCAATCATAACGCACTGGATAGCTGGCCAATCACAGCACCTCGCTTTTCAGACAGATGAGCTTTGTAAAAATCGACGCGTTTCAAAAAGGCGGGGCATAGATGAGAAACAATAATGTACAGTATGTGGAAAATAATGTGTTTTTTTTACTTTAAACCGCATAAACACATTTCATTACACCAAATAATGTTCTTTTTAGCAGCATCATATGACCCCTTTAAACCTTTTGTCATCCTATAACAAACAGAGCGCTGCATAACGGAAAAGTGGAGAAGTGCAATAATTTCAAATATTGGAAGGACAATTTGAATTTTTAATTATTGGGGGTGCGGAGACTTGTCCCCCTCAGTGTTTATGGTGGTTATGGCCCTGCTTTAGAATAATCACTTCTTTTAAAAACAGACAGTCTGAAAGGCAGGCTTATGCATCCACATATTGTCTCACTTTCTCACGTGTTTCTCTCTTTCACATTACTCCAGGTAATGGTGTTTGCCCTGGTCCTGTCGAGATGTCTCCGACAGCTTCTTCTCCTCCTCATCAGCAGCAGGCCAAGCCCAACCACGCGCACGCAAACGGGCAAGCCAACCTGAGCAGCCGTTCTGGGTCAATGAGTCACGCGGGGTCACCTCGACCGTCACTCACCCGACAGCCCAGCGCGGCCACTGATGTTGGAGACGGATCCAAACCCAATGATTATCTCATATGGGCTATTCTGGCCTGCCTCTGTCCTGTTTGGCCCATTAACATCGTCGGCTTGACCTTCTCAGTCATGGTGTGTGCTTGTGTGTTCACAGGGTGGGATTGCTGGATACAGTTTCTGTTGAGTAAGGAGGGACTGTGATTTCACTTGAATTATGAAGAATTATGCCACTCAGTGTACAAAAGGAACTTCTTGAAGAATAAATTGAAAACATTTCTTACTAGCTGTATATTGTATAAACTGTATATTGCATAATTCCTTCCAGTGATGATGGAATTATTTTTATATATTCTCCATGTATATTTTTTCTCCTTTTCATTCAACTTCTCTTTCTACTCTCAGTCTCGAAACAGTCTGCAGCAGGGCAATATGGATGGTGCGCGTCGTCTTGGCCAGAATGCAAAAATCCTGTCCATCGTGTCATTGGTGGGTGGGATTGTCATCATTATTGTTACTATCATCATCAACTGGGGTGGTGAGTATCCTTCCCATGAGGCCAGAGCATGTGAAATTTAATGCAAGCTTAGAGCTGACTTTGTGATTTGGGTCAATGTCAGGTTGAAGAGCTTTAGCTCATGGTCAGGATTTGAATGAGATCTGATTACAGGTGAGATTGATCGTGGCCTGTATTTAATGGATCTAATTTTGTTGTTTTATAGTTTGTAGAAGTATTGTTTTTTTTTTTTACAGGTTACCTGTTTATATCAAATATTATAAAAATATCAAATCTGATATTATATTTTAAAGGTTAGACTAAGATCGAATTTTTTGTCATTTCAGGATCTGAAATGTGACATGCACTACCATTCAAAAGTTTTGGGGTTGGTAATTTTTTTTAATGTTTCTGAAAGAAGTCTCTTATACTCAATAAGGCTGCATTTATTTGATCAAAAATGCAGTGAAAAACAATAATAATGTAAAATATTATTACAACTAAAAATAACTTCTCTATTTCAATGTATTTTAAAATGGCAAGCTCAATTTTCAGCATCGTTATTGCAGTCTTCAGTGTCACATGATCCTTCAGAAATCATTCTGATATGCTGATTTGCTGCTCAAGAAACATTTCTGATTATTATCAATGTTGAAAACAGTTGAGCTGATTAATATTTTTGTGTCTTTTCAAGATTCTTTAATGAATGAAAAGTTCAACAGAACAGTATTTATGTGGAATAGAAATCTTTTTGTAACACTGTAAATGTATTTGCTGTGACATTTGATAAATTTAATTAATCCTTTCTGAATAAATGCATTTTTTTTATTACCAAAAAAAATCTTACTGACCCCAAATGTTTGAATGATATTGTATTTAACTTGGTGTATCCGGTTTTATTTTTGAAAATCAGTCTACAACTACATATACTTATGCTTTAATTAAATAATATACTAAAGAACAGAAAAATCACAAGCTGGCTTTGTAAAGTTGGCTTTGTAGTTTGAGCTTTAATTATTTTCTATTGAATTGTTTGTATGTGCATCAATTTTGAAGTAGGTGTTTTGTTTGAAATTCACTTTGCTTCATTCTTTCAACACCTCTTTTTCTCTTTCAGTAATACTTAAGACCTGATGGCTGTCACGACACACAACCAACAACCAATCCATGATGACCTTTTTCTTCTTCCATGTGCTCACAAGCTGGCTTTGTAAAGTTGGCTTTGTAGTTTGAGCTTTAATTATTTTCTATTGAATTGTTTGTATGTGCATCAATTTTGAAGTAGGTGTTTTGTTTGAAATTCACTTTGCTTCATTCTTTCAACACCTCTTTTTCTCTTTCAGTAATACTTAAGACCTGATGGCTGTCACGACACTCAGGGTGAAATAAAATTCACAACCAACAACCAATCCATGATGACCTTTTTCTTCTTCCATGTGTCATTCATCTCTCTACATCTGAATGCTCCTGAATGCTTTTTCATTTGTTTTATACTCTGTCAGAAGACCCTGAAGCTAGATGTTACCTTTATCTTCTATCGTGCCAGAACAATCAAAAACAACATGGACTCTTCAGCTCTTCAAATGCCTGGAATCACGAGCGATGCGGCAAGGCATGCATGATTGTTTTGTTTTTTTCTCTCCCAACAAAGGACTCACCATTTGAGATGACGTCAGTGAGGAGACCACAAATATGATCTCATTTAATTCGTCATGCACCCCTTGAGGATGTGAGGGAGGAAAAGAATGAGAGAGAATGGGAAGGGATTTGGTTCTTGACAAAGATTATAAGTATTTTTTACGCACAAGCTCATCTTAGTTTCCCTGTTTTCTCAGAAGTGTGAATCCATAAAGAAAAGCTCAGATTAAAATGTAATTGATTATATGAAACAGCAGATGGCTTCCGTATTGGCATCCATCCACAGATGAGTCCGAATTACCTTAAGAGCTGCTCTACAGCCTCTCTCTCTCAGAATGTACACAGATTAAGATGCAGAGTAACACACACATAAACAAAAAAATCATGTATCAGAGAATCCTACAGATAGAGAAGGAGGGAGAGGTAAGGTGAAAGTGGAAGAGATCGAGACCAAGCTGCAGTCTTTTGTTTCACACAGATGGAGGGATGGAGAGAGAAGGATAGGGGAGGAGAGGAGGGGGGCAGTACCTTCAGATGAAAACATACCCCAGAGATGGCGAGATGTAGGGAATGCAGTAGTGTTGAGGGGGATCTGAGCTGCCTCTTGATTGGCTGCTTGTGTGTGTGGGGTGGGTGTGTGGTGTGTGGGTGAAGAAGCCAAAATCGTAATGCTCGCCAATCCAATATCACACACACACACATGTTGTGTTTCCATGTTTTATGGGGACATTCCATAGGCGTAATGGTTTTTATACTGTACAAACTGTATGTGCTATTGCCCTACACCAACCCTACCCCAAAACCTACCCCTTACAGGAAACTTTGTGCATTTTTACTTTCTCAAAAAAACTCATTCTGTATGATTTATAAGCTTGTTTCCTCATGGGGACCTCAAAAATGTCCCCACAAGGTCAACATTTACTAGTATTACTATCCTTGTGGGGACATTTGGTCCCCATAACGTGATAAATACCAGGTACACACACACACACACACAAAATCCAATATTGATCAAACATAAATTTAAATACTACCAAACGATTCATTTAAAACATCAGCTGATAACCAATATATCTACTAATTGTGCATCCCTACATTTTTGGAGTTCTTTTATAGATAATATTATGGATCCCTCATTTTCATGGCTTCGGGTCTCTTGCATGCAGAATGTGACTTTGTTTCATTGATGTTTACAGCTTTCTGACAGCGATTGGGGGCACTTGTTAACTCTCTGAAATCAAGTATTCTTATATTTTTTAACAAGGCAAAGACCTTTGCTGTGTAACACTTTGTAAATGTTCTGTATCTAACACAGCTTATTCCGTACCACAAACAGTATGATGTGGATAAGCATGCTGACTCAGGTTTGGCAGTAAGAGGGTGAGAGGCCCCCATTTTTGGGGCTCGCTTTGGGTTTGGTTTGCATGAACGTGGGGCTACAATCGTCTCCTTGATACATTTCAGTTTGCTACTGCTCTTCATCCCCACCACTCAAATATGAATGAGCTTAGCATGCACATTTGATCCAACCGCGTGCAGTCAGTGAATGCCAGCTTGACTTTTGTTCTCTTGAATTGTTCTGCTCAGTAATATTTATATTTAAGCTGCTTACATATTCATGCTTGTATGTATATATATATATATGTGTCTGTACATATTTTATCACTTTGGAATTATAAGGTTCTGAGTTATTTACATATTCTTATTCTGTTGACAACTTATTTACATTATGTGATGTTCAGCCTTTAAAACATTTTTTAAGAAAAGGGATGAGTCAGAAGTATAAATTATTATATTAATTTAAACGTCTGCACACTAAGCAGCGCTGTGCTAATAAATGCTACTTTATCCGATGAAATGAAAATGCCATCGAAACTGTTCTGAAGACAGTCGGTTCCCTTCAGAGACGCATTCATATAAAAACACCCGCATCTTTAAATAAGAATGAGAAAAGTGTGAAATATTTTGCTAGAATGAGAAAAGTGTGAAATATATAGCCTATATTGTTGAAAATGTATGAGGAAAGTCCACTGATGAGTTACCAGCGTTACCAGCGTATCAGCCCCGGATGGCCCCAGCCCAATTTAACCCCTGGTCATTCCCGCTTTTAACCCGGGTAGAGGTACAGTTCACATTTGTAATTTAGAAGCGGGGTTAGCACCGCTTTTTAACTGGGGTTATGAAACCCTGCTCCAGAGCAGGCTTAGCACTGCTTTTGCGGTGTTATCCCCACATTGTGCTGTCAACTTATACAGTGTGAAATGATGCTGTGTTAGAATGTTACAGGGCCGTAACAACCTTGGACATTGAGGGGGACAAGTCTCCCCCCAATAATTATAAATGGCCAAACTGTCTCCCCCAGTATTTAAAATTATTGCACTGTTCTGCAGTACTTCATTATGCAAAAAGGTATTTTTCAACTTTAAAAGTTTAATTTTTTTTGGCTGGTTTGCCTCAGTTGTCTAACAGCTTGTCAGTGTCAAAATGATTGAGATGGCCAATCAAGTCAAATTAGGCAGGGTTTACTGTTCCCAGAACTTGAATTCCAGTGCAAAACTTGAACGTTGAAAGAGAGCGTAGTAAGATGAAAGTAGCAAAACATGTAATATTTGACAAGTGTTTTACAATAGAAATGTTAAACAACCTACAGTAATATCCAGTGATGCAAACTACTCACATTTTTTCTCAAATTTCAACATTTTTAATTAAAAATATGGTATAATTTACGTGATTCATGTAATTCCTAACCGAATGTGATGAAACATGAAATGTCTAAAGGTGTGCAAATTTTAAACTATCATTTGCTAATAATTCAAAATTATTACTTCCCAACTAGAATGAGACCTAGAATTTCCTTCACCATTTTATTAAATTTTTTTTTTTTTTTATAAAAAAGCCTATGTTTTAGGGGAAAATGTCAAATGGTGTGTTCATTCACTGTTTAATTATCACCTTCATAGGGTTAGCTATTTCAAGTGTGAAAAGCCCTTATATATTGTTTATTGGTTCCTTACAGGACGCACTCTTTCCATCTCCTCTGTTTCCTTGCTCCCTCAATACCGCACACATCTCCAGGATGTTAGTTTCCAGGGCAACGGTTGGTAGGTGAGGAGGACAGTGAGGGACCGGGTTTCAGCAGGATAGGGAAAATGAGAGCATGCGCTCAGACTACTTGGTGTATTTAAAAATCTCATTTGAAATTTATAGCAGCATGCATTATTAAAAGACACTGGAGGAGTGGAGACAAGAGAAAGTGTGAGCGAGTCAGGTTAATGGGAGCTGCAGAGACAGACTGGTTTAAAATTAAGGCTTTAAAATGGAGACAGTGAAAATCAGTAGCCCCTCACTGCAGAACCCAAAATCCAGGGGCCGTTGTTGGATCTACATCTAGAGGGTGGAGATTGGTAGGTTTAGGAATCAGGGGGTGAAGATGGGTAGGTTTAGGTATATGTAAGGTGGGAGGAGTGGACCATCTTGTGAAAATGGGATTTTTTTGCTGCAGTCTTCAGCCTCCTTGTTAGTGCGTCCGCCTCCCATGCCGGAGACCAGGGTTCGAGACCCACTCAGAACGAGGTCCGGGGGAGAGGGGTTACATTGGTGCCATGACCCGGATGGGAGTGAGGTTTACAGATGGGTGAGTGTAACAGAGGCCAGCGAGTAGGTGCTGTGCAGGTAAACCTCACTCCCCTGATCTCAAGAGATGCACTAGCGACTGACGCTAGAGCCTGCAGTCTTTAGCCTCCTTGTTAGTGTGTCTGCCTCCCATGCTGGAGACCCACTCGGAATGAGAACGAGGTCCGGGGGAGAGGGGTTACATGTATTTGGTGTAATTGTAACACACTTGAAGAAGGCAACAAGCGTGATTGATTTTTGGGTTCTTTCTTTTATTCAGCCAGCAGTTTTACAGATTTCGCCACAGCGCCATGCAACACAACACTAACCACTACTAACTCTTCTCTTTCTCTTTCAGGTCTGCTCTAGGGGTTTCCATCTGGCTACTGCCACCCACTGGACACCCATCGCCTAGCCGTGAGTATGCAAAAAATGTATGCATGTACTGAATATTTTCACATAAATAAAACAATTGATAACTATTGAACAGACATTACAAAGAAAATTTATATATTTGGGGGGCCTAGCTTTTTATACAAAAATGAATCTATCAATACACATATTCTAGATTTCTCCACATAATACAATGTGCTTATGAGGTTTAAGGTTCAAAAAACACATTATGCATGTTTATGACAACTGTCATTAAGTGTCATTTGCTCAGTTATGTAATTTTTAGTGCAAAGCTGACATTGTTTGAGATGTCTTTGTTATGGGCTATGGTTATTAGATTACATGCGCGACTGAACGAATCACTCCCCGAGACGACTTGTTCTTCCCGAGTCACATTAAAGATTCGTGCAAAATGAACGAATAAACATAAAACCATGTCTGCATTTGTGCTCGGAGAAACGTCAAACAACAAGTGCTACTCTACACTGCTAAAAACTCGCGTTTGA